GGGCTTGGCATTCCCAACTGCCTCCTGGGATAGGGGAGCGAAAGTGGCCAGTGGGCTTCCACCGAGAGTCTCCACGCCGCCCCAGCCATCCAATGCCCAGTCCCCCCCACTGTCCCATCTCCATTTTCCATACTTCTTCCTCTGGCTCTGGCTGCTCCCTGTTCCAGGGCTCCTCAATGGCCTGCCGGTACTGAGCCCAGCCACACCTTGGCACAGGCGGCATTAGCTTACCACTTCCTGGAAACCCACACGCAGGGATGGAGTTTGAGGATTAGGAGTTTTAAGAAGAAACTTAAGCCCTAGGGTTGGGGTGAGGGAGGCCTCCAGAGAGCGTTTTATGGGAGGCAATGCTGAATTCAGGTTCTGGCTTTGTGGCTAACTAATTGTATGATGTTGGGCAGGGGTCCAGAAGGAAACCTTCCTGGAACTTCAGTTCCTCATGTAAAGTCAAGGATAAGAAAGGCTTCCCGTGATTTTTAAGGGAGATGATTGCCAGTTTAGCAACTAGCAGGTGGCCGGCACATTGCACAGCTTGGTAACTGTGACCTTCTTTCTCTCTGTCCTCAGTGGGGCTTCACTGTCAGAACCCCCTCTCCTGCTTTCATGTCAATTTCCCCTTTGACACTTAAAGGCGAAACTTAGAGAGCCATCTACAGGACCCTCTTTTATATCAGGCTCAGTCATGTTTATTTCTTCTCTCTTGAATACTCACAACCCAACTTATATTCATAGAGATTAATGAGGATAAGTGGCTGGAAGACCTTTAGCAAATATACTGTGATTGTTACACTTTCACTGATGGAAGATCCCTGAGGCCTGGATGTTGGTGCAAGGAGGCGGGGTACAAGGGAAAAGGGCCTATTGTCGTGCAAAGTGGAGGTAAAGTAATTTGGACACAAAGAATCAGCCTTTTGGGGGGACCTCAGATGCTCTTCCAGAACCCAATGGTACACTTAATCTTGGCCACTTCTGTTCTCTGACTTTGTTTCATGATTTAATCTCCGCAGCAAAATCATGTTACTTACTTAAATTGTCATATTAATAATTTAGGCTGGGGCACGGTAGTCTATTGCTGTTAATTTAAGCACTTTGAGGAGGCTGAGGACGGGTGGGAACTGGAGTCTAGGGAGTTGAGGACCAGGCCTGGGCAGACATGGCAAAACAAACCCCATCTCTACAAAAACAAAACAAAACAAAACAAAAATTAGCTGGGTGTGGCGGCACATGCCTGTAGCCGCAGCTACTCAAGAGGTTGATGTGGGAGGATCGCTTGAGTCTGGAGGATGGAGGATGCAGTAAGCTGTGATCGAACCACTGCACTCCAGCCTGGGTGACAGAGCGAGACTGTCTAAAAATAGTAATTATAATAATAATTTAACATACTCCTCCCATCTCCCCAGTAGACCATGGCACAGTGCACATGTTTTCCTCATGATTTGGGAGCCATAAATACTTGTTGAATTGAATGGAATGGAAACCACTTTTTTGCAACCCCATGGTATGTCCTGGACCTGGCATCTGTCCTAGAATGTCTTCAGCTGGGTCATTCCTGGCTCCCAGGATGCTAGGTGTTAGAGGGGAAGCTTACCTGGTGTATCTCTACCCAGTGACTGGGAGAGGGGTCCCTGTGACCTCCTAACTCCCACTGCAGCTCCTCTGGCGTGGTCACTCTTTTCAGATCATTCTCTGACAGCACCTCAGCACCCTGTAGAGGGTAAGGCAGGGGTTTCTTCCTGGGCACCCAAGGACTCAGAAACCAGCCTGGGGCTCCAGCCAGCTTCTTCTCCTTTCTCCACTACTGATGGGAAACTAGGTAGGAATGAAGGGCTCAAACCTGAAATCCACAGAGTTCACTTGGAAGGTCATCGTGAGTGAGAATCAGCAGCCGCTGAACGAGGGGAGGATCTCCTGAGTCCTAAGGGCAGAGAAGAATAACCCTAAACTGGGCAATTGGGTGTCCTGGACTGGCCACTAGTGAAGAGTTAGGATCCAGGGGAACTGCCTGTTCAAGGGGTGGTTACCTGAAGTTGGCTCAAGACAGTAATGAGTGCTGGAGGCAGTGAAGGTGCCTGGCGAAGGTCCAGCAGGACGGAGAGCCCCAGTGTCTGTAGATCAGGCCTGTGGGAGCAGGAAGAGTCAAAGAGGCTGCTGTGTGTGTGTTTTGGGGGATAGCAGATAAAGCAAGGCAGACATACAGGGTGTGTATTTAGTTAATAGTCCTCAGGAGATACTAGTTGCTGGTACATTTGGGAAGAAATGGGCAAAGGGCCAAATTCTGGGATGAGTGTACAGGAGGAAGTGGCCTAGCAGTTGGGAGTCTATATTCATACGGCTACTAGGCCAAGGAATTAAGGTTTGGAAAGTTCAGAATTCTGTTCTGGAATGGCATGCATTCAATGTCAACCTGTAGTATGGTGCCTAATAGGTACTCAGTGCTCAATCAATATTTGTTGAATAAGTGAACCAATGTCCTGATGATCTTGGTAGTGTTGGAAGACAGTGAAAGTCAACAGTGTTGCTTTTGAGGATCAATGAAGATATGAAGCTGGAGGTCAGGGTCAGTAAGGCCAAAGGTCAATGACTTGAAATCTGAAGGCTGAAGAAAGAGGTGTCCTTAGAGGTCAGAAGGTCAGTGTCCTGAGAAGAAGGAGGTGAGGGTCCTCATGAACCAGGAGGTTAGTGTCCAGGGTGCCAGGACTGGGCCTCGGTTACCTGAGCAGTGAGTGGAGGTAATGAAGAGTTGTGTTCAGCATGTCTCGGGAGGGTGGGGGCTCCTCAGGAGGGCACGGTGGGGTAATGGTCAGCAGAGCTCGCCCACTCTGGTCCACCCCTCCTGAAGATACAAAACGGCCAGGCTGTCCTGGCTGGGAGCAGTCCAAGCCTACCTCCCTTCCACCCTGCCTCCCCCAGTCCCCAAGCCCACCCAATTGCTTCTCTTTCTCAGTCCTTTTTCCCTTCACCCACTGATGCCCACTGACCTGTCAGGATGAAGAATCCAGATGCCATCAAGTCCCAAGCCACATCAGGGTCATCAGAGATGGAGACTGGAAGGGCCTCTTCTGGAATGCTGTCCGCTTTTCCTTCCTGCACAGTCTCCAGCAGAGGTGTTGGACTGTCAGACAGGAGGCCTTCTGGGCCTGCGTGTCCTGCACAGACACAGACAGAAAAATGGGACTGAAGTTAAGATGGTTCTGGTTGTTCTGCTCCCAGCGTAACCCTGCTCCTCATCCTGCCCCCTCCCATAGGCCCGACCTGCTTTGGCCCTTTCCCCATGAACCTCACTCAGTGTCATCTCACCTGCCATACACACGAGGCCTGGCCCCTCCTGCTCTCTCTCTCTGGCACCCTCTTCTGTAGGCCCACAGGCTTCAGAGGGCTGAGGCTCTTTCTCGCCTGCTGTTTTGAACTCTTTGGGCTCAGAGTCTGGCTTCCCTGAGTCTTCATATTCCTCCTTAACCAGGCTGCATTCTGGAAGCTTGTGCTCACTTGGTGAGGGCAGATTGCCAAGGGCTTCTTGGTGGCTGGCCTCTTCCTTATCCCCAGGGCTCAGTGGGGCACTGTCCCCTCCTCGGCTAAGAGCCCCTCTGCCTGCAGCTCGCTTCTTTCTTCTGTTTCCTTTGCCTGTTCTCCGAGGGGTACCAGGTGGTCCTTCAGCTCCCTGGCCTCCTCCTCCTCCTCTAAGCTCCCCGGGCCTCATGGGGCAAGATTCAGAGGCTTCTCCCACGGCCTCTGCTGGGGGCTCAGACACCTCTAAGACTGCTGCCTCTGGGACAGCCTCAGCTCCTGGGGGAGACTCAGGGGAGGCTCCAGTGCTGCTCCCCTCGCCGGGTGGGCGTGCTCCATCCTGGTCCCGAGGTCCCAGGCCCTTCTGGTGCACCCACGCCCGGTGTCTCCGGTGGCGGCCCTTCCCTCCAGCACCCTTGCGAGTGGGTACTGTCCGTACTCTGGAGGGGCCCAGGGAGCCTTCAGCATCTGCTGGGCTCCCCCTCACAGGCAGCGTCACCTCCAACAGCTCCACGTACTCACCCTCAGGTCCTTCCACAGGGGCATTGTGCCCATCCCCAGGACTCCGGGTACCCAGCGCCTCCTCAGGAAGTGGAGGGCTGGGAAGCCCTGGAGGTCCAGAGGGCAGTTCTGGGGGCAGCGTACTTGGCTGATGTCCGACCATGAGGCCCTCTTTGTGCACAAATCGTGGGCAGATGAGCTCAGCCCAGGGCAGCCGCTGAATCCCTGAGGGTGCAGACAGTAGGCAGGTACTGAGGCGACCTGTTGGCCGGTCCTTGTTGATGCCTTGTAGCCACTCAGGTGTGAATAGGTAGGCACAGGCCTCATTGGGCACAGGAATCTCCTGCACCCGCCCACCCCCAGGGGCCAGACACTTGAGTGCTAGTCGTGGTGCCTGGGCAGCTGAGGGCACCACTTGCAGATAGAAGTCTCCTGGGCGCAGCAGTTGCCAGGGTAGGGCTGCTAGCTGCACCACCACCTGTTCATGCAGGCAGAGCGGCCACCCCTCATGGAAGAAGAGGAATCCACTGTACTGGGCCTGGGGAGAGAGATGGGAGGCTGCACTCAGGCCTCTGCTGAAGAAGCCAGCAGAAGAGGGCGGTTAGAATGGGCCCACCCTAGGCAGGACCAGCCCTATGCCTGGAAGATTACACTCTCAGGAGAGCAGGAGGGGAGATTTGGGGTATTCAGGTGGCAGAGAGGAAGGGATTGGGACCGATCGGTCTCCTGGTGGTAGGAAGCTTCTCTAGGAAGCTAGTTCCGTGTGTGGGAGGGTAAGAACTGAATCATTACCAAGACGTGGTCAGCAGATGCCATTGTCTTGGAGAAGTTAAAGACTCTTAGAAGTCTTTATATCTGTAGAAATGAAGGATCTCTGTTGACTCATGTACGGGGGAGTTAGTATCTTGAGAAATTCATATGAGGGGGTGAAAATGTCTGGAATTGGGTCTGGAGAGTTAGGGTCTTTGGGGGTCAGTGTTTCTCAGGGGTCAAGATGAATTTGGGGAAGATGAATGTGTGTGTGTGTGTGTGTTAGTGTCTGAATGGTCAGTGCCTGTGAAGGTCAAAGTTTGTGGGAGGTCAGAGAACGAGGCTTAAGTGACTCTGGAGAGATCAGTATTAGGGGAGGCTGTATCTCCAGGTTAGTGGGGGAATTAGTCAGCCTGGCTAGTCTGTAGAGTGTGGCAGTGGATCTTGGGGAAGGCAGAATAGTGATGCACGGCCACTCACACAGGCTTCCTGCTGGACCTTGGCAAGCAGGTGCTTGGCTGGTACCAGGAAGTCCAGCGTGTACCTCAGTGCGTCCTCCCGATAAGTCCTTTCCACCACCTGGAACACCTGGCCCAACAGGGTAGGGGCTGTTGCCTCAAAGGGTGGATACAGGGCGGCGAGAGTGCTCTGCACACAGTCCTCCACTGGCTCAGGCTCCTGTAGAGATAGGACCAGGCTACAGATCCCTAGAGATCACCCAATCGCGGCTCCTTGGGAGCTGCACTGGTCTGGGGGTGGCTGTGTTCTCCAAGGCCCCCATTGTACAATGTGTGCAAAAAGTGGGCACTCAGGAAATGCTGGCTGATGAGCCCAGAATGGGAGTGGGGCTGGGCCGGAGTGCACAAGCGTGGCAGGGCACTCAACACTCAAGTTCTGAGACCTTGGCTTTGGAGATCCAGAGAGAATTTGTTGTGAATGCCCCCAATCAGGGCTGTTCCGGGTGCTCGTGAGTTGGGGTGACTGCACAGACCTTTCCTAGGAGAGAAAAGACAGGCTTTTGGGCTATCAGGGGACTGAGCTTATGGCTGAGAACTTGAGGGGGTGAGCCATCCTGCAAATCCCTTCTCATAAGACACACCATCCAGAGCCCCCCATCTTAAGTGGAGGTGCATCACCCACAATTATGTCCTAGAGATGATCATTTGGTGAAAGAGAGATGGTCATTTGGTGAAAAGAGGAGGATGGAAAGACTGTCTGTGACTGTCTTGGGTCTTTCTAGCATCCCTCTTCCCTCTCCCACAGTGGCTCTGAAGCAATCACCCAATCCTAGAGCATGTGGGATTGGGTTACAAAGAACCGGGTGGGGGCAGTTGAAAGAGAAAAAAGTCACAAAAGGAACTTGTGGGAAGGGAGGAGGAGGCCTTGATGGTATGCATTAGAGCTGGTCTTTTCTGATTCCAGTGGGACCTCTCTCTGCCAACCTCCACTAGGAGTCTCAAAAGACTCAGCCCTGCTTCATCCAGACTCCTCTCCCTAAGTGAGTCAATGAGACAACTTCCTCCATCCCACAACCTAAACAACCACCCCTTGGGCTATTCCTTTGCAAACTTCTCTTTCAAGACAGTCTTTGAAGTTCCTTTTACTGGAATTTTTTTTTTCTTTTTTTTTTTGCAGTAAATGGGGAAGGGGAGACTCAATGCAGCCTTTACCTTGGTCTCTACCTGCCCTACCACCATGTCTTGCCTTTGCCATAAAACAAAATAGCTTATTTTTCTCTGAGCTCCTCCATCCAGTTTGTCTCGACCGTCTGGGAAGTTAGGGCAACCACTCCAGAGACCGGGACATTCAGCGCGTCAGCGCGCAGACCCGGCCCCAAGGTGTGTGGGCGAGCAGACAGACCCCCAGTGTTCCGGGACCAGGCGGACGCAGCGCGCGTGGGTGGGGGGAAGGTGGAGATGGCCGGGGGTGAGGCAGAGTGGGGCCGTCTGCTCCAAGGCCGGGACTGCGGAGCTAGGGCTTGAGCAGCTAGGCAGCTGCAACCCATTAGGGGCGGTGAGCTCATGGCTGAGCGAGAGTCTCAGCCACAGGAAACAGCAGCGGCAGGAGGGGAGGAGGGGTCTGGGGAGGGAGGCGGCGGGCGGGAGCACGGCGACCCAGCCTCCTGCCGGCGGGGACCAGAGAGGAGACCAGAGAGACTGAGTCAGCTCTCCCTGGCCCAGTTCCTCTTTCTTTTTCCTCCAGCCTCCCTGCCAGAGGGTGCCCTTCCCTCCGTAGAGGGGCGGCCCCAGTAGTGCCCCTGCCCCTCCTCCACTCCCTGCAGTGAGCTCCCCCTGGCAAGGCCTCTCCCCCTCCTTCACTCTGCAGGGAGCGCCCCCTTGGCCATGCCCCCGCCCTCTTTGCAGTGGGCGCTCTCTCTGGCAGTGCCCACTCTTGCAGCGATGCTTCAGAGTACTCTGCAGTGAAAGTTCCCAGGGCAGTGTTCACTCCTATTGGTGTGGGCTTCTTCTTAGCGGTACCCTCCAGCTTCCAGCGCCCCAAGTTGATTCTGCCAGGGTCCCCTACCCCCTGCAGGGCGCTCCGGCTCATGTTCCCCACTCTCTGCTGCAGGAGTGCCCTGAGGCAGCCCTTCAGTTCCCTGCAGCAAGAGCTCTGGGGCACTTCCCTCCCCCACAAACTCCGGTCGGCTCTGGCAGTGTCACGCCCCCTGGTTCTGTGAGCTCCCCCTAAGCACCCCCAACTACCCTGAGGCAGCCCTTTTTCTCTGCGGGAATCTCCCTCTTTGGCCATGCCCCTGGCCCCGTCCCAGCCACAGCTGTGGCCGGTCCCCCAGGGCCGGATGGGTGGGCCTGCCTCACCGGGTTGGGGACAGGGATGGAAAATGGTGGTTCCATGCAGGTCAGTTCTCATGACCCGAGGGGCCGGGCCTCTTCCAGGGACGCTGCAGGACCAACCCGCAGGGGTCTCCCGCGGGTAAGGAGCTGGGACCAGGAGGGGGAGGGAAGCTCCAGGAAAGAAAGGCACAGGTCAGGACAGAGGAGGGCGGGGAGCGGGGAGGTGTGTGGATTAGGGGAGAGACCCAAGGGAGGATGGGGAAGGAGGCGGAGGAGAGGAGGAAGAAAGGGTGAGGGCAATACTCGGTGGGGACAGAGCTAAACAGTCGGGCAGACGAACAGACAAATCGAAGAAGGGGGGAAGGGAGGGAGGAGAGTCCCGGGAGCGCTGAACAGTCCGAGGCAGGATCGGGAGGCACCAGGCTAGGGACTGGGGGCCCGGAGCGGGCTGCGCGAAGGCCGAGGGGACCCAGGGGGCTGCGACGCTGGACTCACCATGGCTCGGCGCCGGGCCGCGTCCGACGCTTGGTCGGGCGGGCGGGGCCGGGCGCGCCACCGCCTCCCTCCCGCCGCTCGTGTCTCGCCGGGTCTGGCTAAGGGACAGCTCCGGCCGCGGTGGCGGCTCGGCCCGCTCCGGCTTCCAGGCCGCGGGGCCCCGCCAGGGAGGGCCGAGACGGCCGCCCCTCCCCGCCCCGCCCTTCAGCGCCCGCCCCCGCCTCCGCGCGGGACCCCTTGCCGGGACTCTATCTCCCGCGTCGAGACTCTCTGCCGCTCCCCAGGCGTCCCCAGCCTATCCGTCCCGTTCACCGGCAACCTTCTTTCTTCTCCGCCCCGCCCTCCAACGGGTAACCCCGACCCTGACCCTCGGAGGCCCGCCCAGCCGAGGATGCCCCTCTTTTCCCGCCACCGCCTCGCTCCCCGCGGGATCAGTTTAGCCTTGGCAAGGGATGCTCCAAAGGCTGGGGCGTGCGTGAATTCCCTTGTGCCGCCCCTTCCCAGAACTGGGGTCTTCCTGCGGCTGGAAAGCCTCCCCGCTCTAACTCGCCCGGGACCCTCTTCTCTCATCGGTTTCTAGACTTTGGCAGGACCCGGGGCTCAAATGAGACCTTCAGGCCCCTGCCTGCCTAGCAGAGAGCGGAAGGCCGGGAATCAGGGGATTCCCCAATCCCCCTGGGGCTTGCCCGCCCTCCTCCTTTCCCTCCATCTCCTCGGGCCTGGAGCCTCTGGGCTGACAATGGGCTCCTCTGTGTTGCCTGGGGAAGGCGGGAGTGTGCGGGAGTCAGGGAGCAGCGAAGGCTTGGGATAGGGGGCGGACATCGTGGCCGAGGGGGCAGGGTTCCCGGATCGGGATGCTCATGGAGGGCGTGCATTTCGCCGGACATTTTCTGAGTTCTCTCCTCCATGGCCCTTCCCTTCCGCATCCCTATCTGTCTATTCGGCTAGAAGAGGGAAGACACCAGGCCTCCAGTTCGAGAATTCGGTACTGGATGCCAGCCCCTTCCTTCTGTTGGGGTGATTATAGCGTCCCGCAGGGCCGCTAGGGCTCGTGGCCGTGGAGATGGGTATTTGGCGCAGGAGACAAAGCGGGGTGGGCTAGTTACGAAAGTTCTAGCCTCACTCCCTCATCAAACCCCAAGCGTCCCCCGACCGTGTCTGAATGGGAAAGGAAGGCCGGATGGAGGTCTCCCAGGAACCCGGGGAGAGGCACGGGCACGGCGGGGAGATGCCCTGCCTGGCCTCTGAGCAGGCACTGGGAAGCCCCGCAGCTCCGTGAGCCCTTCTAAAGGGTGGACGGAAAGGAGAGGAGAGGAGATCAGAAAGCCGAATAGTCCCCGGAGGGGCGTGAACGCGTGTGCCCCTGCAGCTGGAGGGCGATGATGAGAAAACGTCCGGCCTCGCCTGCAGTTCCTCGGAGGCCGGAGCCTCTGGGCAGTTGTCGGAACAGCGGGAGGGGAGGCAGGGGAGCCGCCAAGGTGACTTGCTCTTCTCTCACCTCCTCTGGACGCTAACCTCCACCTTTTTCTCCGCTCCGCTGAGCCTGGAAAAGGACAGAGCAAATGTTCATCCTTCTTAGAGGCAAGAAGAGGCCTCTGCTCCACAGCGTCAAAAAAGAACCTATGGCAACAAGCCCCAGTAACCATCTTCCCCGCACAGTTAGAGCTGTGGAGTTGGAGCTCTTTCTAACACTGGGTTATGGGACCCTCGAGTCACCGACACTCTCCAGAGCTAGGAGAGTGAGATTTTGCTACCCCCTGGTGTCCATTCCGTAAATACTGCCCAGTGGCCGGTTACAGGGGCCAGTGTTTAAAAAACCTTATCCGCTTGTCTCAAACCCAGCTCATTAATTCTCGGTGTTGAGAGTGTCTGAACCTTTCCTCACCAGGCCTTCCATTCCCCATATTGTTTAGGGAACCCTTGGTAGGGTCGAAGGTTGTCCATTGGACTCCAAGGCTCACTACTCTTAGGTAGTGGAATATAAATTAATCTGGCTATGGGGGTCCACAAACTCCTGGGAAAAGGGAGTGGATCTTTTTTTTCTTCATGGAGAAAAAGGGGAGCCACTGAAAGTTTTTGAGCTGATGGGGTAAGGAAGTTTGGATACAGAATCAGGGATGCAGTTACCCCTTCTTTCCAGGAGTTTTCAAATCTGTGCTAAATTACAATGGTTTATTTTAAGTAAGTGACATGTGGTCACAGCAGTTAAATACCACTTTCTTCCAAGAATGCAGGCTCTTACTAACTAAAAGTGTGTGTGTGTGTACGTGTGTGTGTACACAACAGAGTATGTGTTGATACATGTATTTTTAGTGGGGGAATATGAAGGGGTAGTTATAATGGAGAAATTAGAGGCTGGGAATAGACCAGATTTAGAAGCCTTCTCATTCACACACAGTTCTTACCATACTTCACCCATTAAAGATTCTTTGGGGCTTCTTGAACTCCTGTTTTACAGATGACATTGTAACTTACTGAAGTTAATAAACTCTCTCTAAGCTACACAGTAAATGAGAAACCAGGATGTGAACCCAGGCTGTCTGATGCCAGAGCCTTCACTCTCAACTAATAAGTTATAGGGTCTCATCTAAGCTGTCAAAGTTCATAAAAGAAGAGTTTTAAACACCACATCACTGTTTCTGCCACCTAACCATCATGCTAAAAAAAAAAAAATGTTAAATTTGTTTTCGTAGAAGCCAGCACTGAGATTCTACAAGTGATAGATATGTCTCTGTGGGTCAGAGAAAAAAAAAAAAAAAACTAGCTTTTTCTAGACTTATTTTAGAGTAATAGTTGAAATAATTCTGAAGACATTTGCGGTATGGTTCTTATGGAAAACTAGTGCTATCCTAATACAGGGGAAGGTGGAAAAACATCTGTGTCTGTACTGTTGATTGCGCGGTTTATGTGCACCAAGAACTATGACTGCCATCTTATAGAGGGTTGGGGTTTTAGGCTGCTCACTATTTCTCCCTTAGAGGGTAGCAGTGACTAGGACTCTGCCTCAGCCCCATGCCTCAAGTTAGGGGGAATTAATGAAGGACCACAAAGGGAATTTTAGGGATGGGCTTGAGAGCACATGTTCTTGTTAGCGCTGCCTTCCAAGGAGTCTGGGGTCAATATCCTAGTTATTTTAGGGTAAAAAAATTTGTGTGATATGTAAATATATGTCAGTTCTATTTATGGTTTAGTTTTTCATTGGTTTTGGTTTTACTTGATTGGGTAATATTTTTTCAAAAATTTACAACTTATCTTCTCTGAACTAAGTGTCATCAGGGTCCATACCACCACCATCTTGCCAGTGCTAGCACATTAGTTTCCCCACTTGTCTGCCTGTTCCACTCTTACCTTCTGATAAGCCATTCTCTGCACCATAGCCAGAGTAATCTTAGAAATTCAAATAAATCAGGCCTGGCGCGGTGGCTCATGCCTGTAATCCCGGCACTTTGGGAGGCCAAGGCAGGTGGATCGGGAGGTCAAGAGATCAAGACCATTCTAGCCAACATGGTGAAACTCCAACATGGTGAAACCCTGTCTCTACTAAAGGCATAAAAATTAGCTGGGCGTGGTGGCACGCACCTGTAATCCCAGCTACTTGGGAGGCTGAGGCAGGAGAATCGCTTGAACCTGGGAGGTGGAGGTTGCAGTGAGCCGAGACTGTACCACTGCATTCCAGCCTGGCGACAGAACAAGGTTCTGTCTCCAAAAAAAAAAAAAAAAGAAAAAAAAAATCCAAATAAATCTTATCAACCCCATCTAATGGCTTTCCATTTGCATCATGATTCCTTTTCTACCTATCTCTCCTTTTCTTTTCTGCTTCATCATTTGCCATAGCCCTGTGGTGACATTATGCTAAGCCACTGGTGACCCTGCAGCCACAGTGGCCTTCTTTCAGTTTTTCAGGGTTTTTGTTGTTGCTGCTGTTGTTGTTGTTGTTATTGAGACAAAGTCTTGCTCTGTCGCCCAGGCTGGAGTGCAGCGTCGCAATCTAGACTCACTGCAACCTCTGCCTCCCAGGTGCAAGTGATTCTGGTGCCTCAGCTTCCCGAGTAGCTGGGCTTACAAGCGCACACCACCACACCCAGCTAATTTTTGTATTTTTAGTAAAGACGGGGTTTCAACATGTTGGCCAGGGTGGTCTCAAACTCCTGACTTCAGGTGACTCGCCCACCTTGGCCTCCCTAAGTGTTGGGATTATAGGTATGAGCCACTGCATTTGGCCCCTTCTTTCAGTTCTTTAAACATGCCTTACTTATTCCTAAAGATGTTTAATTTGGCACCTTTTTGCTCTTCTTTCCTTCTGTCTGGAGCTTTCTTTTCATTCATGATTCCAGTGGCTGGCTCTCATCCTTCAGGTCTTAACTAAAGTGTTATAGTCTCAAAGGTCTTCTTCCCTGGCCACCTGGTCTAAAGTGGTCTCTCACCCATCGTCTTTCTGAATAATGTTATTCTGTTTTATTTTCTTCACAGCATTTATCTCTATTGATTATGTATTTATTTTCTATCATAATAGACTCACCTTTCTACTACATATAATTTAAAAATAAACTTTATGAAATGAAAAACCTTGTCTATTTTGTCACTGCTTTTTCAGCTAGTGTCTGACCAGTTCCCAAAAGAGATCATAAATCCAAGTGAAGGCTGAAAGGAGGGCAGAAAGCTCCACAGAACAGGAATGGTGTTGGGGACAAGAGAGAGGTGGGAACGGCAAGGCAGAGGCTTGGGGTCAGCTGCTTTCCTGTCTTCCTGGAATCAGTCCTCATGAGGTTTTTTTGTTTGTTTGTCTGTTGGAGGATATTTGCAAGTAGAAAGCATGCAGGACAGAATTTTTTGATGTTGTTTTTTGTTTGTTTTTGAGACGGAGTTTTGCTCATCGCCCAGGCTGGAGTGCAGTGGTGCAATCTCAGCTCACTGCAACCTCTGCCTCCTGGGTTCAAGCGATTCTCCTGCCTCGGCCTCCCAAGTAGCTGAGATTACAGGCACCCACCACCAGGCCTGGCTAATTTTTGCATTTTTAGTAGAAATGGGATTTTAGCATGTTGCTCAGGCTGGTCTCGAACTCCTGATCTCTGCCTCCCAAAGTGCTGGGATTACAGATTACAGGCGTGAGCCACCATGCCTGGCTGTGGGATAG